CCCCGGGACCGGGATCCTGGGGTGACGTCAGAGGGGCAGGCGCTGGCCACAGCTATTGATGGCTCCTGGCCTGGAGGCGGGGCGAATTCAGTCGGACTGCGCCCCTAACTGGGTAGAGCCCGTGCGTCTCAGGGCGGGTCCACGCGCCTTCACTGCCGGGTGGGAGGAGGCTGCCGCGCCCCTTTTGCTCTGAGCTCGTTCTCACCCGGCTCCTGCCAGAGCTGTCTGGTATTTATACCACCCCTCCCCTCCGACGCCTTACAGAATGCCAACGCCTGCGTCCAACGGGCATTTCCAATTTCTAATTAGAGTGGGTCTCAAGGGTCCATATTTAAAAGCAGCCCTTCCCCACCCCCTCACCCCAGGTAACCCAGAGACTTGGCCAGGTTTGGAAGCCGGTCATCTATTTGTGAAATAGACCGTCTAGGGGGTCCTCTTCCGGAGCTCACTGCATAGTCCCTGCATATATTGGTCCCTAGCACAAAACTGGGGCTCAGAGAAGGGGAAACGCCAAAGAGACCTAATCCAAAAGCTCTCAAAGGCGGAGGGAGTGAAACACATGCCCTCTGGATCCACCCTACTCTGAGATACCCCTCATCCTTTTTGAGGCCACTAAGCCCACTTTGCCCCCTTCCAGCCACCCCACCTCCACTTGTGAGCCTCGGGCTGGCATGAGCTCCTGAACTGCACACAGAGCATGACTTGGCCTGAGGAATCCAAGTGTCTTTCAACCCAAGGTCTCAAACCAATGTTGTTCTTCAGCTCTTGAACACCTTGGTTGTGCTCCTATGCCCAGCTTTGATAAATCACACACACATCATTCTTAACTGTATTTCTGGAAAGGAAAAGTGTGAAAAGTGCCCGCGGAGCAGCAGGCATCCATAGGCTCCTGTCCCGAGAATTCACAGCATCCGAGTTTTCCAGTTCTTTTAAAGTGTGCAAAATTTAAGAAGCAATCTCATTTCTCAGAGATGGATTCAAAGTATATTAGACCACAGTATCAAAATCTGGGTGGGAAATATTATTCAGAATATTTAGAGAAACTATGTAACATCCTTACCTGCAGTCACCATTCTTATTTTTCAAGTTGGTGTATTTTCTTCCTTTTTCCCCCCAGTGTGTAACCACTGAAACTAAATTCTTTGGACATTTCAATGGTCAATAAGTCAGGGTCCTGAGAAGCAGTACCTCAGAAGAGGGCTGTTTTGTTTTTGCATAAAATATCTTATAATTTCCAAAACACCCTGATCAAATAAGTAATATTTACTATAATTTAAAAAATATAAATATGGCCCAGTTTTTTGGAGGTTCATCTTATCCTTTGTTTACTAGCTTACCCTCCCACTGGGTCAAAGTTTTAAGGGGCTCTTGGTTTCTGCCTGGACATCACAAAGTCTAAATGTAGTAATAAAATGGGGCTAGAGCAGGATTCACTTACATACATGGAAGAAAAAAAAAGTTAGCATTTCCCTAGACATTAATATTTCCCTATAAAAATTCTCCTTTCCAGTGGTAAAGAGTGAACATCTAGACATAACATACTGAGATATTTAGGTGAATATCTTTAGATTTTGCATCTTGATTATAAATATATTCTTCGTCCTGACTTTGGCCACTGAATAAAATCTGTGCCTGTGTGCTTTGTACAATTGTGTATATGTGATATGCAAGTATGTAGAAATACATGTGTGGGACCCTAGCAGTCTGTAAAAAGAAAAAGTATGTTATTGGGGTGGGGGTGAGGGTGAGTACATAAATCACTCTAGGTTTGATAAGATAAGGGTCCGAGGGCAGAGAGGAGTTACCAGAAGGCAGGATGGACGTCTGTGCACCAAGTAGGAGTCAGCACCACAACATGTTCGGGTCGGGCTGTGCGCAGCCGTTTAGTGGTTTGCGCCGGAATTCCGCTGGGTGTTCACTTCGTCTTTTATAACCCAAAGGTTCGGTTTTTCAAGTCTGGACTTTGCCTGGTGTTTGGAGAGGTCAGGCGGCCCCCTCCTCTTGGTTCTGGGCGGGCGCACACACACAAGATGGTTCTGGGATCCCCAGGCAGGCACGCCTTGCTCCCCGGACTAGAGCCTTGAGCGCCGGCACGTGGCGTCCGGGCCGGCTGAGGGCGGGCTCCAGGAGGGTAGCATCTGAAGTCGCCCAAAGTTGGAAAAGACTCCCAGGGGCGCGATGTCGCGGTCACTCTAGGCTGTTTGCTCTCCTTGAGTGTGTGTGGGGTGGGGCGGAGGAGGGTGGAGGAGCAAGATGTTTATAGATGGCTCTGGTTTCTTCCCGCATTAGGACTGCGTTCCGGGACTGCGTAGACGGTGCCCGAGGGCCAGAAGGCTACACGCTGAGGCCCCCGCACTTGGAAGGGGCGGCCTAGACGCTCTGAGGAGTCCTGCTTGGTGTTGTGGGTTGCGTGTGCAGTCGTCTCTCTTTTCTAGGGCTTTCTTTCTTATATTGACAAAGAGGTGGGTCGGATTTGCCTTTTAGTCCCAAGAAACTTATTTAAAATTTCCCATGCTAGAGGCCAACACAAATTCTCAGAATGCTTGGGAGGCACCTGCGGTTCCGGTTCACTCCCCAGACGGGCAGGGGGCGCGTGCGGGGCGGGAGGGTGGGGTCGCCCGGTGGGTGGGAAGCCGGGTCCCTGCTCCCGGGCGGGGGAGTGAAGAAGCCTCGTTCTGGCTACAGCCGAGGTTCAAAGATTAGAAAAACAGGTGTTACGTCGCCATGCTAATTCACTCTCTGGGTAAACGCGGCTCAGGCTGTTGTGTGCGGAAGACTTAGAGAGGGGGCCGTCATCACATGGCCGCGTATTCACTTTGTTTATTAAAGGACATCTACTCGGTTCATCAACAACTGAGCTTCACTGCAACGATGGAGTAGACCGCCCGGCCCCCCAGGACATCGCCTTCCGCGTGAAGACTTCCATACTCATTTTGCTCATCTTGCTTCTCAAGGAAAAAACTGCATTTCTTCCAGGTGAAAGGCACCCTGTATGGGGAGTCCAGCACCGCCTAATCCCTCAGAGAGTTTCTGCCCGGGCAAGGGTTTCAAACTCCCGAAAAAGCACGAACACACCTGCACGTTGTTTGAAGTAGAGATAGGGTTTAAAGCCACCGCAGACTTAACAGAAATCCTTCCTAGAACATAGTCGGAATACAACACCACTTCTTAGTCCTAAAGTGTCATTGCATCACCCGGCAGTTCCATTTTGCCCTTAAGATGTGTCCGGGTTGGAGGTGGGGGAAAGAAGGATCCGGGAAGGTCCTTTCACCTTCTGCAAACACACGTCCCCTCTCTTTACGTGTAGTAGTTACTTGATCTTATCTGGTCTTTCAAGAGTCTTGTCTATAAGGGAGCCACAGTATTCTCTGTATTCCTACCCACCTCTTGTTAAAAGTACATCTCTTGGTGGTGGAACTGCCCAGAACCAGGTCTTGCAGTGCTACAACTTCTGCTCTAGATTACAGCCCATTCGCTGGATTCCAGTTTTGAAACACCTACGAAATCTCCTTGTTTAGTTTTTTTTTTTTTTTTTTTCTTATTCTTTCTATCCTGAACGTTCACCTCCTCTTACCAGGTGTTTCCCAGATGTGTAAATACCCCCAGAAAGCCTCGAATATAGTTGTGCGAGCTTATTGCCATGGGACCGGCAAGGATGAGGCAGATGTCTGTGTTTTTGAACAAACACTCTTAAAGTTGTTCCGAACCTCAGCAGAATGGCACACAGCCCTCTTCAGAGTATATGTTTTCTCAGCGGCAATTAGCGCCGCAAAGGAGAGGATGAGTGCAGCATTACTGGCGTCCTCACTCTCGTTTATGGCCATTGAAACAACTGCCTCCAGCGCATCTCCAGGAGCTGGATCATGGTCACCAGCAGCACCACATCGAGGGAGGAATTGCTTCTGTAGGGAGTGATTCGCAGGCAGCAAAAATTGTTTGGGGGAACAAACCGACTTTTCCTCATTTGCTATCTGTTGTCTTTCCTCGGATGACAGAGAGAAGGCGATTCAAATTAGAAGATTTCTAAGGTAAAATATCTCAGCAATAGTACTTAAAAGAGTTTGTATGAAAGGCGCCTGTCGGGGAACTGTGAATGCTTTACATTCATTCACGAAGGCTATCCTTTCTGTAAGGAATATTCATGTTGGACCTTTGTTTTCTAAAACTCAACAATAAGTCTTTCTTCACATTTAAAACAACGGAATATGTGAAATATCTAAAATGTTGGCATGAAATGTAACCCCTTTTCCCTCTAGTGTCCCCTATGTGCTCCCCAGAGGAAAACTCCACTGCTGAGCTATCCACGGCAAACCAATCAGCCCCCAAACTCTACCCATTTAGAAAAAGACGCTCCTCGTTGGGATTCATTGAAAGACAGGTATATTTATGTCCTCTGGCGATTAATTTGGTGTCGCCGTGAATTCAGAGAAACGTGAAAAAGGAAATAAAGACCGACAGCGGCCCCGAGCACGCAGTGGGCCCCGCGATTTGCCCGCGGGAAGGGCAAGAGCGCGGCCGCCCTTGGGTGAACCCCGCCCGCAGTCTGGGCGACTCCCTACTTCGCCAGCCGGGGAGCCCCAGCCCCCGCTCCCCTGCCTGACCTCTGCGGCCCCGGGCCTCAGCCCTCCGCTTGCGGGCACTCCCTGCACTTTGGAGACCGCTCTCGGAGCTGGGTGCTTAAGCCACCCGAACCCAGGGATCGCGCGGGTCCTGCACTCGCCCGCAAAGCCCCGGAGGCTCGAAGTAGCCGCGGCAGTCGGAGGGCGCAGACACCGGTGCCCCCGGGCTCGGTAGGAGCAAGCCCGGCGCGCGGGTAGCAGGGCTGCCAGCCCCGAGTGGGGGCGCGCGGGGAGCGGCGCGTGGCGTGCTCGCGTCACTCAGCTTGGTTGGCCAATGAACGCCTCGCCCCGGGGAGGGCATGACCAATCGAAAGGGAGGAGGTTTGTGAGTGGCATGAAGGGAGGGCGGGAGAAAGGGAGCCCGGGAGTGAAGTTGAAGCTAAACCCGGTAAGGTATAAAGAAGTTACAGGGGGGCGTTTTCGGCTTCCAATTAGGAATAATACTGGCTTCGTCGCAACTATCGAGGAGGAGGATTCTAAAACCACCTCACCCGTCCCAAAGCCCGCATCCCCCTCCTTCCATGTACCCTTCCCCCAATTCATGACCCAGAGAGAAAAGGGAGCCAGGGTTCTCTCTGCTCCTCTCTGCCGGTGGGAAGCGGAGAGGCCCGCGGAGTTGCTTAGTTCGACCACAGACATGAGTACAATTAAGAGGCGGGCACCTCCGCACCCTTTGCCGCCAGCGGGGACCGAAGGTAGGTGAAGCGGAAGACACCCCGCGCCCGCCCAGTGGCACGCGCAGCTCTACGGCTGAGGGAGAGAGGCCGGACCGCCTCCCCCCTCCCCACCCCCACCCCGGTGCCAGCGAGGGGTTGTCGTGAATGTGCCACCTGTTAACCTGGCGCTGCCGTGCCCGGCGTGTTGCCGCCCCTGCTGGGCAGGGAGAGCGCTGGGTCGCCTCGGGAGTCCCGAGGGACTTGATGTGTAAGTGCCACTTTTTGAGGACTCCCTGAGACTTAGGATCCACGCTGGAGAGCTAGCCAAGTTCCAGATCTGCCAAAGTGGGGGACTGAAAGGCAGCCACAGCGCTGTGGAGGAATTCAGATTTGCGGAAACCTGCTTTTCCAGGACGCGCGCCTGGTCCCGAGCGGGCGCGGGAGCCCGCGGCTGGGGGTCTCCCAAGTCTCTACAAAATCCGCGTTTCGTTGTTTGGGCAACTTCCCAGGGGGCTGGAGAATGTGGCTGGCAAGGGTGAGGGAATGCGAGCGAGCATTATTTGCAAGGGGCTCAATCTCTCTGCCGATTTCTCCGTATTTTAAAAAACAGACATAAACACCGAGGAAAGCTGAGGCGCGCTAAGGCCTTTTCCGGAATTCGGGCGAGGGCATGAGTGATCGTGGAGCCGCAAATCTCTTACTCTCTGATGCTGTTGTCTTCACAGTGGCCTGAAAGAGTCGCCCGGCTTTCCTGTTCTCCCCTCAGGGGCTCGGAACCGCCTCAAATGCCGCGGGATTGAAGAGCAAACGTCGGGGATTATTATGTCGATTTTCCAAGGACTGGGGTTCGAGGCACGGAGTAGAAGAAAAGGCTGACTCCTCAGGGATCCTGCCGGCATTTGATACCGAGACTCCCAGGATTGCCCAGATTGCCCTGGATCAGCAACTTTCCTATATCTGCATCCCGTATTTTCAAAGAAAATATTTTCTGTTTGCTGCGTTGGTCTTTTACCACCAATACATCGAGGCAAAGACTTCAGTCTTTTCATTCAAAGTATGCTTTATATTTTTGCCAAATATGATCCCTAATTGAAAGTTTATTTTGGTTTTGGATGAATCTGTGGAGTTTATGTTGTAAGAAGACAGGGGGAACGAGACACAATGAAAGAGAAGTCCAAAAATGCTGCCCGGACTAGGAGGGAGAAGGAAAACAGTGAATTTTATGAACTGGCTAAATTACTGCCTTTGCCCTCAGCTATCACCTCGCAGCTGGACAAAGCATCCATAATCAGACTCACAACCAGCTATCTCAAAATGAGAGTAGTGTTCCCAGAAGGTAAGTGACTTTGCCCAGATGGAATTTCAAAGACAGAAGGGGTAGAGGATTTGCCAGCCACTGGGCAGAGAAGTACATTCATACTTTCACATACATTCTGCAAAGGGAAGTTTAGTGTGGCTGCTTGACTAAGGACCTCTCTGAATTTAGAAATCCTGTTGCCTTTTTGTGGCTCTTTCTACTTCCCCATTAATACTTTCTCTTCAGTCCATCAGATATGTTTGGTTGGGAAAAAGCCCAACACTGCTTTTGTCAACACTTCAGATACTGGGCGCAATTGGAAGTTCTACTAATCCAAACATGACATTTTTTCACTCCTCTCCTTAGAATTGTATCTAGTAGAAAGCAGGAACACTGCCAAATTCTTGCATTTTGCTACATATAGATAGACCCGTATACATGAAGCCAGCTTAGTTAGATAATACTTTATCTATATGTTTATAATTCTGCAGATGAGGAACAAGCATATTCATGAATAAATGTCCTGAATTCACCCAATCTCTTGAGGGCTGATAGCAAATTTATTTTGAGTTTTTGAGATAGTCACAGATTCTGAAAATAACTCTAGAGCATGTGATTTGCATCTCTGGGTTTGATATTATCTCTGAGATAATAGGCTATCCCCAAATACATAAGATTGAATTAAGATGGCTGGGCCACTTAGAAAATATCTTCTAAGTGGTAGGCTGGCAAACAGATCCTGGGAAAATTGTCTTATAAGGCCTAGAAGTTAGAATAGCTGAACTGAGCTGTTGACATGATTTAAAATGTGTATTTAGATTATGAAGTTTTGCTGTGTGAGAACAGAGCAGCCTTCACAAAACACTGTCCTGTATAAAACCAACTATAGTCACTGGGAAAAGGACACTTTTCTCTTCTACTTCCCCATTCTTTCCATTACCCACATTCAAATAACATGAACAGATTAAAAATATATACATTTTAGATATGTCTTTTTCTGAGGGAGGGGATCTGTAAATGTAGAGAGGATTGCCAAATAAACAAAAATTCCAGATAAAGAACCCTGTTTGTTTACAACCCAGAACTTCTTATTTGACCCAGAGAGATTTATGTTATTGTTGATTTTGAGTTTGGGATTTGTTTTCTTTTGAGAAAATAGAGGGAAAGAAATAGTTATTATTTGGCTTGAAGTTTCACTTTGCTTGATCTTGACTAAAAGTTGTTATCTGAATCAAAATCTTGCAAAACATGCCCCAAATTAGTCAGCAGCACTAAAGGAAAACTTTCAAATTATAGTGAAGTTTTACCCTAAAACTGTAAGTAGTGTTATAGTCATTTTGTCTTTAACCAGTTCCTTAAACAGTCTCATCTGATCCTGGAAAACACAGAAGGAATGGAATAAAAACCTAAAGCACCTAAAAAGTAAAAAGAAAGAAAGAATAAAAGAAAGAAAAAAAGAAAAGGATGGGGACTTATATATTAAAAACCACATTTCCCATTCAAAGTCTGCTGAGAATTGCTGGTGGGAAAAATGCTATGATGCTACACTGCCTTATGTTTAAAAAAGAGATCTCCTTGTCTTTTATACTGTCAGCGCCTACTTTATAAAAATAAAAGCTATTGCGAACTCCGCTGGTCGGGCTGTTCCTAACAGTATTATTAGCAGTGATTTGTCAGCTCCTGCGGTCTCAGTGGGCTCCCTTTCTGCGTGATTTCTAGCGGGCCGCGTCAATTATCAGTGCCAATGTCGCTCGCTGTTTGATCAGAAGAAGCATATGGTGCTGCTTGTGGGGCTGCGAGTAATCGCGAGAGGAAGAGAATAGCAGGTCGACTTTCCTGGGTGGGCACAGAGAGGGACCCGAGCGCCCTGGGAGTTGCCGGGCTAGGGCGTTCTTCTGTGTCGCGCAGACCCTGGGCAGGCGAGGCCCGGAGGGGATCAGACTGATTTTTGTCGTTTTGTTTTTAAGAGAGCAAGCTTTTATATTTAAGTGCTGACTCCACAAATTATAATTGGCGTGATAAATAAAAAGGAGGAATAAAAAGTAAATTGTTTTAGCCAACTTGTTCTTTTTAAAGAGAGAGCGCTGGTGACGGAGAGAGCTCCCGTTGGAGTCCGGTTGGTGGCCAGGCCCGTCCCTTGTGGCTACCTTATCGGGCGACTCTGCTTTCTGCAGCGCCCCTCACCTCCGGAGCCCTGGGCCCCGGGCTCCTCCTCCTTCCTCTCCCTTCAGCGGGTGAGTGTGAGTTTATGGGGAGGAGGGGATGGACGATGTGTGAACTCTGGGCACATCATTTATTTCTCCAGCTACTGTTGAGCTCATAACTCATCCTGCAGCCTCCACACGGTGAGTTAGGGTCATCGGAACAGCTGCTGCTAGGGATGAGGTTTTAATTTTGAGGATAGATTAGCTTCAAAAATTCAAACCCCAAACACAGCCTTTAAAAATATTAAACAGAATAAACAACAACAACAACAAACCCCCAACAGTTTTAAAGGTGTAAAATAAATAATCACAAGCAGAAGAACGAGGCACAACCTGCAGAGGGTGCGAAATTTGGGTTCAGCTGTTGACTGAAGGCAAGGGGTGGACAAGATTGGGTCCAGAGAAGTGTGGAAAACTGAGCACTTTATGTGTGATAATCTTTTTTTAGTGACGAAAAGGGAAAACAATTTGTTTGACAATGTAGTTTGTTTTTGAGATGTCTTCAACCATCCTAGCACATAGTAGGTCCTCAATAAAATATTATTTTAAGGATAGGAGATAGTTGTTTCATAACAGTAAGCATTCTATCACATGTAACATGGATTTTGAAAGGTATATAATCTAAAATAATTATAAACCTGGTGACATCTTGTAGGCATAGCAATGACTGTAAGAAACCTGGTGATATCTTATAGGCATAACAATGACTGTAAGACTCCATTGTTTTTGCTCATATACATTTCATCTGTAATACCCTGTAACACCAAAAGCCTTAAATCCACAAACAAAAATCCTTCCATAGTTATATTTGAAAATGGTTTAAATCCTAAAATATTGTAAACCCCGCCCCCCACCAATTGCTGAATACATCCTCCTCCCCCCAGGGTCCTGTTTGGGGGCAAAACTAAAGCTCTTATTTATCTGGATAGATAGAATTGAGCTTTTGAGGGGAGAGAGAGAGAGAGAGAGAGAGAGAGAGAGAGAGAGAATAGATGAAGGAGATATGGATGCCTAGAATAATTAAGCATAAATCATTAGATTGGAAATTTCACAGTAAAAAACAAACAAACAAACAAAAACAGCTCAGGGAAGATTATTGTAAAATCATCAAAACTGCGTATTTTCCAATTGGCAACATATCCTATTCTAAAATATCCTTGCAAAGGAAAAATTGGGGCATCTAGAAATGTATCTTTGGTGTTATTCAAGATAGAAAGGCAGGATAATAAAAGAGATGATATGGTTTTATTTGTGTGAAACAGGACAAATTCAACTGAAAAGAAATATATATATATATATGTGTTTGTTATCCTGATATAATAAAGTTTTGGCTGGGGATGGAGTGGCTTACAGAATAACCTTCAAAAGGATCAGACATGTTTTCAAATCTATAACCATTCGGAATCTTGGTAACATCACACAACTATTTCATTCTCAAGATGTCTTGGGAAAATAAAAATAATTATAGAATTGAAATTAGTAACTGTGCAGGAAAGTGAGTCTCCCAGAAGGGCTGGAAGGACCAGGATGATTAAACAAACCTCCATAGACCCTTTCTATAATATTCGCCTCAAGATTGAAACCCTTAATCGCCTTATATTTTTTTGAGGCTGAGAACTGAAAGAGAAAAAGAGGCCCCATTTCCCACGTGGATGGGTGATTTAAGGCTGTTTTTCTTGCTGCTTGGGGAAATGATTGAGCATTAGGTTTCCATGTTTATTTTCTTACATAAGTTTTTCTCATTTAAAAGCCTGTAAGCAGAGTTTATGCTCCACGCTGGTTTTCTCTGTTTAATTCCAGTTTTGATGTTGACTTAAAACGTAGAGTGCAGAACTAAACTCCATGTACAGCATTTGCAAGGCAGATTTATGTGCTAGAAATTGTAGATCAGATCAATGAAAAAAAAACTTTTTTTCTTTAAACTGGGGGTCACTAATAAAAAATAATAACAAAAACCCCCAGCATAAGCAGGGTATTATAAGCTATGGGGGGATGCTTTTAAGCAGGGTACAGTCACCTAAAGTTAAAATCAGGCCAACTTTCCAGAAGACAAACGTGATTTCTAGGGAGTTACTTTTAAATTCTGGGAAATCTTGACAGCTTTGAGGTTTTGCAGACACAAATGTACACACAATCAAGCCCAGGGGATTCTTGCCGCATGTCTCAATCGGTAGGCCCAGGTATTTCTCCAGAGAATGTTTAAACACAGCTAATACGTTTTGGTTTCGCTGTCCACTCATTATCAGTTTCTGATCCATGGAATTTAAATTTTTGTGGAGGTGAGAAGAAACTTCAATTATTTAGTAATGGGCCTGCTAATCAGAGAGTACTAAAAGAGTGTCTGAGAACTGTGTGGCGAACCTTATTCTGCAGGTAGCCTCATCGGGCAGGCAGGCAGGCGGCTCCTGCACGGAGTCTCTCCACCTCGGTAGCTCAGACAAAACCAGGGACAGTGACCTTGTCTAAACCTCTACCTCGCCTCAGTCGTGGGGCGAAGTTGCGAGGAGAAGCGTGTTGTTGCGGCCAGCCGGCCATGGCCTCGCGATGTGGCCCGTTCTCTCCCAGCGACCTGGCCCGTATTCGCTCTGGTGGCCGCGGCTTAGGGAGAGCGGGCTTGAGGCCTCCGCAACGGACCATGTCTCTGCCTGCCCAGGTCTCCAGGACGTCTCCGCCTGCCTGCCTCGTGCACCCGCCGTCTTCGTGCAGCACGGGCTACTGCCCCCAAGGACCTGCTGTTGTCTAAACCTTAAGCCGAGGGCCCTTCCGAGCGGGCTGTTGCTCAGCCATCGGAGTCGGGGTCGCCAAGTAGAACCGACATGGGCTACGCCAGCGCCGCAGGGCAACCCCGTGGGCCTCGCCAGAGACTGCTTTTGGAAGCGTGGCATCGCCCAGCAGGGCCACACTCGAAGGCTCGCAGTCCTGGCCACATCGCTTGACCCCTTTCAGCAGCCACTCAGGGGCACTGTTGTCAACGCCGCGTGCATTTTTGTCCTATGGTTTAATTAGGACCTGGCTAAACCCCACCTGTGCCTGGTGCCTGCAGTTCGAGTTCTCTCGCGGCGGGCTCGGGCGCCCACGGCAGCTGGGCCGGCAGGCTCGATCCCGACCGGGAAGCCCTGACTCTGGGGGCCAGGGCAAGACCAAGGCGCAGAGAGTCTCCACCCCAGATTTACACTAACTTTAGCGGATTCCCCAGGCGCGGGTCGGGATGCCTGAGGCAGACAGGGAAAAGGCAGGGCACACACTGCCACTGCCGACTTCAGACAAACGTGGTGGGGTCCAGACTGCTGTGCAGGACGAAGCTTGGGCCAGCGCGGCTTCCGACGCCTTCGGAAGGTTGGCCACACCCGCCAGGTGGCCAGAGAGAGCCACGAGTGGGGCGGGTCCCAGCGCTGGAGGTGGGCGTGTGTGTGCCTAGGTGCTTGAAGCTGCCTCCTACCCAGTGACGACTCCTGGATTTGGGTTCGGCTAAGGGCCCCAATCTCTGTCCCTCTCTTTCCCAGAGAATCCAGCCACTGAGGCTCCTGGAGCCCTAAGGCTGCTTGGTTCCTGGGCCCAGGGAAAGGCTTGGACTGTGCGCACTCGGCGAGGAAGCCGGTGAGGACGCGCAGGCCCTGGGAAAAACCCAGGTGACTGAGACAAGACCCTTCGAGACCCGAAGTTAGGAGCGCGGTCTCGGAGGGCTTTTCCGGCATCAGTCACGGGACAGCTCAAGCCCCCACCATGTTGCTTAAAAGGCGTAGAGCAATTATTCCTGAGATGAAGGTTTCCGGAAACGACTACAGGAACGACACATTTCTATTAAGAGATCGTGTTTGTTTATTAAAAGAAAAAGAAAAAAGAACGGTAGAAGAAGCACTTCTCTTCCTCCCCTTCCTGCGTGAAGGAGGCGATGATGCCGTGTCTGCTATCTATATTTTGCCAAGGGTATGAAATTCATTCCGAAGGAAAAACTCGATCAATTTATTTTTGCTGCTTGCAATAACACAGCTGGATGATGCTTTGAGCTCACGCTAGACTGGGGCTCATCATTCATTCGCCAAGAACGAGCCTAAATTGTGCCTGTGGGATTAGGTCAATTTTAGTGGATCTACTTCGCCTCATTTGGTTACTAATTGGTTTCTTGTTTTATAAATCGAAATCTCATTTTCAGGAAATTACAAAACCCGTGCAGTCAGTCCATTGAGGTAATCCTTGGGTCAGGGGGTATTTAAATGGAAATGGCTCCACTGCTCACTGAGGGTAAAGCAACAGTGAAACTTCGCCCGGGGTTTTCACATGAAATGCGAGCTAGCCCTTTCGATCCATAATAGATACATCCCTTGTAATACTACTTATGTAAATATGATAAACCAGACTTTAAGGGAAGAGGGGGGCCGGGATAAGCAAAATTTATCTGCTAAGGTTAATGTAGCATATCTTGGAAATCTTCCAAAATAGATTATGTTTTCCTTTGTCTTCGGCCACTTTAGCTGTGGAAAATCCTTTTGTCTAAAACCCGATTTAGTTATCGCCTCCCTCACAGAGCTCCTTTTTTTTCCTTTGCAAAACCCCGTTCCCTCGGCCTCACCGAATTACAAGAGAATCTTTAGATCTTGTTCCCACTGTAATCCTGCCGCAAAGGGAGCTGGTTTCCTCCTCATTTTAAACAGACAATCAAAGGATTTGCGAATTTTCTGCGGTAGGTCAAGTGCAGAAACGAAATCTCAGCTTACCCCCTCGCCAACTGAAATTGGGTGCGGGAGTGCGTCGCCGCAGGCAGGGAGTGAAGGGACCCAGGGACAGGGGTCTCTGGCCCACTCCCAGATTTTCGGAGGCGGAACCCATTACCAGGTTTCAGAAGGTGTCCTGGGCTGGCTGAAGGAGGAGCTCGGCCCTAGTGTTAGGTCAGGAAAGCCCAGCAGGTAGACGAAGGCACCCAGTTTCTTATAAAACATTAACCCAGACATAACCGAGTGACGGAGATTTCAACCGGGAACATAAAGAAAAGGCAATGCTCCGTGAAAGTAAAAGGTTTCTTAAAAGGTGGGGGGTGGGGGCAGGAGAGGACGAGGGAGGCCCCTGTTAACCTGTGCCGGCCGGCTGTTTATTAACCTGCAGGGTAGTCATATTTTTACCCGGTAGGCTCATACTAATGAGGCCGCAACCCGAGACCACAAACAGCCGAGGTGGGCGCCGAGAGGAACCAGTACTTAACCTTAGCCCAGCTTGAGGGATTTTCAGATGATTCGGGTCGGGAAGCCGATCCGGGGCGTATTCCAGCCGCTTTGGGGGAACATCATAATTTTAGAATAAAAACATTTGTCGATCCCAAGAGCACGCTTTGCACTCTTCGGGGAGCTGCGGAAGACCCGATTCCAGACGCAAGGAGGCCTCGGCCAGCTCTCTGCGCCGAGTGTCCCTGCCCCTGGCCCCCAGGGAGCTTTGGGCTTTCAGGCCTCAGCTGGGCCCGCGGCGTCCCGGGCTCTCCCTGCTGGATCTTTACCCCTTTCCCCAGTGCGACCTCCCTAGCAGCCAACCCTGCCCTCCACTTCTTCTGGGTGGGTATCTGTGAACTGGCATGAAAAAATGAACACGTTGTGCCAGAAACCAAGGAGGATAGTTTGGCTGAGACGGGAGAAACAAAGAGGAGAAAGAGCAAGGGGTGTGTGTGTACCGGCTGTTGTGGTGGTGGTCCTCTCCAACCGTCCAGGAGGACCTCAGGGAATAGAGTAGTGGAGTCACTCTGGGGAAGGAAACCGGGGCGGGCTAAAGCGGCAGGCGGGGTTGAGGAGGGAGGGAGAGGAGACCCGGGAGGGCGGGGAGTGTCAGTGTTTGCAGAGTGGTGGGGAAATCGTTAGATTTATTTAGATGTGCAAACACCCAGAAAGACACAATTTGAGCTTAAGGGGTGCTCATGGTTACTCGTTACCAGGGTTTTGGTCGTTTGCTTAGGAATCAGCTTCTGGCCAACACATTTAAGAGTCCAACTTTACGTTTTGTTCTGAAAGATCCACCCACAACCCTGCATTACAATGCCAGTGTGTTCCTCATTGTGTACTTCATAGTGACTTGCCCTGTACCCCAGTATCTCAGTAAGTTACCCTTCTTTTTTGGTTATGTTAAATCTTGTTTAGGTGGTGTAAGCATAAAAGAGTTTACCTAGTTAAATTAATTTCAGCAGCAACACTGTTAAAATGTATTACCCATAAGAAGTTTAACCTCGGTCTGGGCAAGTTTCTTCTACCATATTTTTTATTTTCATTCTGCAAAAAGGTATGCTACTGGCTCCATATTAATTTTTAAAAAACCAGCCACAGGCATCCTGAAAATTTTATTTTTTAGGCATCATCAGAAAAATTATTTGTGGCAAAACCTGGAAAGATCTTAAGGTGGAGAGGAAGGGATTGTCTTTGTTAAGATGATACCTGGAAAGCAGAGAAAGTGATCAATTCTCTATATCCAGAAGGTCATAAAAATATTGCTAAAATGGTGTTAGAACCTGAAAGTAGCTGACTTAAAAAAACAAACAAACAAACAAAAACAACCTATGCAGTTTTTTGGTGGATGGGATGGGAGGTGAGATTAGGATGTGTAAGGCAGGGGCTGGGAGGGAAAAGGCAAAGGATTGCAAGAGTATGTTGCTGCTGGGTGTCATCCTAAGGCTAACAGATTTTTCTGAAGGGGATTAAAGTCAGAGGCCCAGGGGAGGAAAATGGCTAGAGAACCCTCCAGCCAATCAGAAGGCCCACCAGGGACAGGCTGGACCTGGCCCACTGCCTCAGGTCACTCTGGCTGGCAGCAACGTTCGCTGGTTGTATGGACATCCTTGGCCTCCTGATAAGAACGATGATGAGACTTTGGGTGAAAAATAGTGTCTCTCATCCCTCTAAGGACACTAGTGAATTTATACAATAGATATTGCTGAGGTGCAGTATAAGGGGCTCTCTCAGGGAAAGGATGTCCTCAAACTCAGCCACTTGGTGTCCTGCCAGGGGGCTGCTCTGCCAGACCCTGCCCTCCCTGAGAAGCCCAGGCCCATCTGGGAGAAGGTGTCTCACCTCTGTTCAGCCTTTAGAAGCTGAGAGGGCAGGTCCCAAATTCACCTGCTCCCATCTCTTGCTATCCAGGTCAGGGAGGGTGGGGAGCCTGATGGTATCCAGTCATGTGCACGAACTTGAGCGTATGACAAGACCGCAGGACTAGTCTTAAACTGCTGGCAGGGTCGAAGTGCCAAAGCTAAAGGGTGTCTCTATGTCTCCATAGGGCTCGGCGAGGCGTGGGGCCACACAAGTCGGACCAGCCCCCTGGACAACGTTGGCCGTGAACTGGGCTCACATCTTCTCCAGGTACTGGCGCGGGTCTCCCTGTGGCGCATATACTTCTCTTGTTTCCCAGAAAAATGGGATCTCGCCAGCCTGGACGTGGCCCTCCTGCAACCCCTGAGAGGGAGGCAAGGTGACAATCAACGCGTTGAGTTTGAAAGGGAGCTCCGAAAAGCCCCAATCAGATGGGCTGAACCCACGGAGGGGGAGCCATTTGACACCATTGGGCTGACGGAACTGGGGCACCCCGAGGCCAAGCTGCTGAAGCCAGGCTGCAAAACCATCTGAAATGAAGGATTTTCACAGGAAATAAGGGGAATCTGGTAGAAATGCCAGTCAGTGCTTTGAGCCCACACATTCTGGGTCCAGCTGTGCCTGCAACTATGTTTCATCTCCTCCCTATAACTCCCTGCTCTCTCTTCTCTCTCCATGGCCCTCACCGCAGTACAGCCCAGGCCATGTACAGATTCTGGTGCACACATTTACACCTCCCCAGGCAATGAGTTTATCAGTGTGGAGGTGCCCATCACCACGTTGTTTGCTGTGTACACCGTTTTAAATTGCCTGTTGCCCACTTAAGTCGCCTAGCAAATATTTAAAATAGTAAAACTCCTGGTGGCATTTTTTAGGCTTGACACTTGTCTCCCACCCTGCACCCCCTTATTATTATTCAAATCCACCCTGAACGTCTCCTGTAGGTGCCCCAAACCTACACAGGCATCAAGGAGGAATCTGAGCCCATTTTCCTTAGTATGCCAGGCCTGAGCATCTCCTAGCAGGAGTGCCATGCCCTTTCCTGTCCTGCCGCTACCTCATCTCTCCCTCAGTACCAGAGGCCAGAGATTTTAGTTCCACGGAGTAAAGAAAGGCATTGTTCAAGCATCCCCTCACTGGCCTGGCCTCTGTACCTCTGAAGCTAACTAGAAAAGCACTGTCCCTCTTCTTTCTCAGGGACTATTTCCATCAGTTGTCTTAACAACTGACCCCCTACCAAATCTTGCCATCTCACCAATTAATTTCCCACATCAATATAAACAAGAGAACAAATCCAAAACAATTCCTCAGCTCTTCTGGCTCTTGCCCAATCTTTTTCTCCCTTCATCCCAAACTTCTCACAGGACTTAATTATACTTTCAATTTCTATCACTCACCCTGCCCCACTCACTCCCACACCCCTGCGTCCAACACGTCTCCCAGCCATTGTGCCCTGCACAAGCTCCACCACATTTTGATATGCAGCATAAGATACTCATTTCTTATCCAACCTGACCTCATTCATTCCACAAATGTAGGAGGGCCAACTATGTGCCAGACAGAAAGCCCTGCCTTCATGGGTTTACATTCTAAGGAGAACAGCCTTGCAAACCTATTGTGTAACAGGTGGTGTAGGTGCTGTGGAGAAAAATGAGGAGAGCCCTGGCAAGGTGGCTCAGTTGGTTGGAGTGTCATCCTGTACACCAAAAGGTGGAAGGTTTGATTGCTGGTCAAGGCGCTTTCCCAGGTATTGGGTTTGATCCCTGGTTGGGGAGTATACAAGGAGGCAATTGATGGATATTTCTCACAGGGTGCATTTCTCTCTCTCCCCCCCCCTTCCCCGAAAAATCAATAAATAATATCCTCAGGTAAGGATTTAAAAAAGAAAAACAAGGCCCTACTGGGTTTTGCTCAGTGGTTAGAGTATTGGCCCGAGGACCAAAGAGTTGAGGGTTTGATTTCCATCAAGGACATGTACCTGGGTTGCATTTTGGTCCCCAGCCCTAGTCCAGGTGGTACAGGAAGCAACCAATCAGTGTGTCTCTCTCACATCGATGTTTCTCTCTCTCTCAAAAAACAAAACAAAACAACAAAAACAAGAAGGGGAAGAAGTAGGGCTGTGTTTGAGTGGCAGAGGACCTCATTGAGAAGGTGACATTTGGGCTTGATGTAGGTGACATTGCTTACTTGACATTCTCCCTCTACTTCAGTTTCTAAAGTACTATACTTTCCTAGATTCTTCTCCCTCTCTGGTTTTCCCATCACTATCTAGTAGTAAATGCTAACATTTCCTCAAAGATCCAGCTCAGTTTCTCACCTCATAGCTTCAAGGCCTCCTGGGTGATCTCAGCCAGCATTATCACCTCAACTCCTTTCCCAACATGTGCATGACTTCAGCTGGTTCCTCCAGCTCCAGGCCTTTATTTCCTACTGCCAACTAGACACATCCAAATGGAAATCTACATACACCTGAAGTTAATCATCTCCAAGTCAAGAATTCATTATTGCCTACTTTCAGACTTCCACCCGTACAAAAACTAACCATGCTTCTCTAAATTTCCAATCTTGGTTAATGGTGTTACCCTCTAATCAATGACATTGAAGTCAATCTCAGCTTCTCTTTCTGCTACTATTAATTCCACAGCCAGAAAGAACCATCTTTGTCTTCAACTCTGCTTTATTATCACCTCATTCCCACTCTTTCCTCCTATAGGTGATTGTCCACATTGTGCCAGAAAAGAAAAAAAGAAAGAAAACATGTCTAAGCAGGTTATTCTCCTACTTAGAAATCTCTGTGGGAAGCCTGATGCCTGCAGGAGTATCTCCAAATTCCTCAGACTGACATCTCAAACTCTCCAAAATCCAGCACTAGTGTATTCCCTCCGCTGTATCTCAGATGCTCCAGCATCATCAGATCCACCCTTCCCCCAGTCCCTGCCTTTGGCAAATCAGTCCCTCTGCCTAGGATGCCCTTCCTCCCTACTCTATTTCAAGCTTCCTCTTCAAGGCTCTGCTCAAACAACACCTCAAAGGCCTCTGATTCTTCCCCAGGCCTCTGGCCACTCAGCCTCCAGGCCCCCACAGCACTGTCTATTAATCTGTATGGTCATTATATCTATCTTTAGACCAGTCTTTATGCCTCTACTGGACTTCCAGCTCCTTGAGAGTAGGATCTGACTCAACCTTGTCTCCATTGCCTGCATTGACAACTCATTCACAGAAATAAAGGGGCAGTGGAAGTCTAAGACCTGCCTTCATGGAGAACCTGTCAGTTTGATACATCAATGTAAACACACACACACATCACAGCACACTATAACACTCCTTTATGGACTTGTTGCCTGGAAAGACTCTTATATCCTAAATCCTCCTCTTCCCAACTCTTTTCAAAGTCACTGGCCAGCTGCCTTCTGTCTACAACTTTTCAGCCCTTCCACATCACCCAGTGCCTACTATTTCCTAAACCCTGCTAGTAATCTTTCATTAAAAGATGCTGTCACTGTGGAATCCTCTAAGACTGACAGAGGAAACCTCTGCTTCTTTCAGTGAACATCACTCCAAAAACTGAACTCACCTCTTGCAGCAGGCTGTGCCCCACCCCTGAATATTTATGTCTGTATGTTACAGATATATCTGCTTTGTCTATTTTGGTGGATCCTGAATTTTGGAGGGCAGTAGCCTCGTGCATGAATCCTTCTGCGTCTCTTCCAGTGTGCTGCATTTCCCAGATGCTTACAAATTTGGAAAAAATAAAAGAGGGACTCTTGTGGCTGATTTTCTATGCCCTGTTTCCTGCGATCCCCTCTCTTCTCCATCTCTCTGCACTTCTGGCTGGGCATCTGTAACTTCTGTCCCCCTCAGCCCAATTTGTCCCAGTGTCCCACAGGGCTCTTCATTCAACTCTGTTTCTATCTCCCCAGACCCTGGATGGTTTTATCTTTGTGGTGGCCCCAGATGGAAAAATCATGTATATCTCGGAGACAGCCTCAGTCCACCTGGGTCTTTCTCAGGTAAGTGAGTGGTCCACACCTCTGACCTTAAGTGTTTACAACCAGAGCTGGAGGTAACAGGTGAAGGTTGGGAGGGCTGTCCCAAAGGTTTAATATGTGCATTTCTGAGACTGGAGACATCTCAGCTGATAGGAAGGTTGGATCTCTCCCTTTCTCCATTTCCGTTATCCTTTAGCTTCCACTCCAAGCCCAAACAATGACTACCTTTTTGAGTCCTTACCAGAGGTCAAATAACACGGGAGATGGGTTACATACTTATGTTACGATGACTTCAGAATATTGCCAGGGAGCTACTACTGTTATTTCCTTTCATAGATAAGGAAACTGAGGTTTAGATATGCTGCCATAGCAGAACTGGAATTAGAGCTTAGAGCCGACTCTAGAGTTCTGGCTCCTGTCCTCACAAGCCTGTGGACCCCCTGGCCCAATCTTCCAGTTCCTCCATGTGACATCTACCACTCCGAGACGGTAATACCCTCCTCTTTACAGGTAGAACTGACCGGGAATAGCATTTACGAATACATCCACCCCGCGGACCACGACGAGATGACAGCGGTTCTCACGGCCCATCAGCCCTACCACTCCCACTTTGTCCAAGGTAAGGCAGAGGTGTGCCTGCGACAGTGGGGCCCATCGCAGTGCGCTTGCGGTTTCCCCCCAGTTAGCCTTGCAGGGACCGCGGCGACCGCCGCGTGCCTCACGTCCTGCGCCTCCCTCCGCTCTTCTCTCCCAGAGTACGAGATCGAGCGCTCCTTCTTCCTGAGGATGAAGTGCGTCTTGGCCAAGAGGAACGCGGGCCTCACCTGCGGCGGCTACAAGGTGCGTGGCTGGGAGGGAAGATCCCTGCCTCCTGGCGGCTGCCGCCATTTAGCCAGGTGTAGGCGAAGGGAGTAGGAAAACAGGCACCAGAGGCCTGGGAGGGACTTTCCTGTGCCCAGGGCCGCCCGGGAGGGCGTTCCCCGCAAGTGTCAACGAGCCGCCGTAGGAGGCGCATCACGAGGGTCATTGAACTTGGTGAACACATGGAACTACGTTTGAAGACAGTCTCACTGGGTCCGGATACTGCCCAGCCAATGGGGCTCTTAAATCTGGGACCCACATTGGGTCTTAGGGATGTGTCAAGCCTCTGAAACTGTCGGTCGCTCCTGTGGAATCGTAGCGTTTACCCAGGGCGTCAGATTCTGACCCCCAGAGAGGTTAAGAACCAGAGCTTTAGGTCAAATCCGTGGTTCTCCTGTTTAATGAGATTAAACGTGCAGGTTCCAGGGCGCCGCTCCGAGATTCAGGTGCATTAAGATTGGCAGGGCCCAAGCCTGTGCATTTTTACAAGTCCCCAGGTAAGTTCAGTGAGGCAGTACAGTCATTTTCTTGAAACACCTTGGGGCCCCAGTAACTTTGGACAATTGAAAGGGGGTGGGGGGCACGTGGCCCACAGGGCGTGTGTGGCCTAGTTGAGTCTCCAGGTTTTAATCCCTTCCCCACCTTTTTAGGTAATTTCCTGACTAAGTGGCTGAGTCTCGCTGCTCTGTCACCTTTATGCGCAGGTCATTCATTGCAGCGGCTACCTGAAGATCCGTCAGTACAGCCTGGACATGTCCCCCTTCGACGGCTGCTACCAGAATGTGGGCCTGGTGGCCGTGGGCCACTCGCTGCCTCCCAGTGCCGTCACGGAGATCAAGCTGCACAGCAACATGTTCATGTTCCGCGCCAGCCTGGACATGAAGCTCATCTTCCTGGACTCCAGGTAGGTGGCAGGTAGGAGGATGGAGAAGGTGAAGAATCACTGCTAGCAGGAGGGCGGCCCTGCTCAGTGGCTGAGAGCTCCATCTTGATCTAAGGGCCCATTTTGCAGATTAGGTGACTATATGGGTCCTGCAAAGTGAGGGTGGGCACCCAGGTCTCAGGTGGCTGCTAGGGGTGGGGCACACCCCCAACACCCCGCACTCACCCTGAGGGGATTGCTCTCCGCAGAGTGGCCGAGCTGACAGGGTATGAACCTCAGGACCTGATTGAGAAGACCCTGTACCACCACGTGCACGGCTGCGACACCTTCCATCTGCGCTGCGCCCACCACCTGCGTAAGGCGCCCCCCTGCGGCAGCCACACAACCCCGGCGAGTCCCCCGAGTAGGAGTGGGGAGGAGGGAGGGCATGATTTAAGCCCCAGCCAACAGAGACCTGGGAGCCCTGATGGCGGCTGCTCCAGCAATGGGCCCCACCTTGTTGCTCTAACATCTGCGGGACATCACCGGGCGAAGGGAACATTTCTGAGTTTCTTGGAGAAAGTACCCGTGGGAGGGGTTTTAACCTCCTATTGATATGCGGTCTCCCTCTCCCCTCAAACCTCACAAAGGTGGGAGGAAAAACCGAGACTTGCCCACTTGGCTCAGACACCCCGATCCGTATCACTCCCTTGGCTTTTGATATTGCTTTGCTTTGAGCTTAATCTCCCCCCACAGAGAGTGTGAGCTGCCCAGACCCTACCTTAGACGGTTAGAAAATCGAATGGGTGGTGGTGGAATTACCCAACTTTAAGTGTTCCCCTCTTTGCTAATCTTGAGGGACCGAAGACTCGAAGCCAATTAACATGATAACCGGTGCGCTTGGGAAGGGGCGTGTTGTCTGCTGCCTCTCCCTCCTGCCTGAAGCGCACTTTACTTAGGACTCGCTGGGGACCCAGACTCTCGCTACCAGGGTTGCATTTGGGGCCGGTCAGGAGCTGGCTCGTTCACCAGCCTCTGCCTTCCGTCTCTCCATCAGTGCTGGTGAAGGGACAGGTGACCACCAAGTACTACAGGTTCCTGGCGAAGCACGGCGGCTGGGTGTGGGTGCAGAGCTATGCGACCATCGTGCACAACAGTCGCTCGTCCAGGCCACACTGTATCGTCAGCGTCAACTATGTCCTTACGTGAGTGCAAATCTGGGACCCCTTCTCCCACTTCAGGTGACCATGGTCTCCATGAGTGTGCATGTGGTGGGCACCGCCGGCTCGTGTGAGACTGGGATCTCCTGGGGACGCCGGTTTTAACTCGAGTGCTGCCTGCGTTGGGAGGCGGCAGCTTGGGCACTTTCATCTTTATGAAGAGGATTCTTTCGTTATATTCTGGAGAAAGATTTAGGAGTTTTTCCATCCACAGTCCATATTTGATTTCTACTCTCTCTTTTAACCTTTTAAACGAACTCTGCATTAAATAAAACTTAATGTGGCCGAAAGAAAAAAAGCGAGAGAGAGAGAGAGAGAGAGAGAGAGAGAGAGAGAGAGAGAGGAAAGGGTCCGTACGGAGCCATTTATGGATAACGAACAGGACATCTGTTTCACTTTTTCAAATCTGGGTTTGAAGTTCTTAATTTTAACCAGAGTCTCCAATCAAAGTTAAGAGTTCTGAGAGAGTGATTTTCCTCCTGAACCACAAAGGGGGTGTAAGTGACCGAGAGGGTCTGACTTTAACCTCCATAAAGCAAAGGGATGCGAGCTAATGCTGCAAGTCTTGGCCGGAGCCCAGGCCCCAGCCGTTGAATAACAGCGTCACTGGGTGAGGAGCCCGCCCCACAGTGCGACCTGCGGGTGCTGCCGGCTCGCAGGCCCCGGCAGCCGCATTTGAGCCTCATTCTTTCTAGAAACAATACTCTCGTGTGGCTCTGCAGGCGTTGATCACATGGTCTGGTGGGAGGCTGGGGAAGAAAGCACGTTCTGTATAATGTTTGTGAAAACCAAAAGGTTGAAGCCTTTATGAAGAACCCTTTTGTGTGCGCAGTTGCCATTCCTTTTTTTTTTTTTGGTGGAGGTTGTGATTTTAGGGGACCTTAGGAGTTATTTACTTTGGAAGAGTCTACACACCAGGCACTTAGTAGAAATACTAGTTTGACATTAGGTTAAAGGGTGCTTTTTGGAATCAGACTATACTATAGGATAGGTGATAAGGGCTGGATCCATTCCACGTTATTTAAATTGACAAATTAAAAATGTAGTAGTTGGAAATATTATGCTATTATGCTTGGCAATAAGACTATTTACTTTGTGCCTTGCTTAATAAGAAAATTTAATTCAATCGACTTAGAAAATGAATTTAGTTTAGATAAGAATTCAGTACTCGAGAATAATGACTGGTTACTAAGAAGAATCATTAAACTTTTTTTTTTTTCATTTTAGTAAACAGTGCTAAAATAAATACTTTTAGGTTTTTGTAATAACCCAAAGACTGTGTATTTTAATTCAGAGCAGAAAACATAGCAATATTGTGGGTATCATGAAACAAAAATTACCTATTTTATGAATGTAGTTTTTCATATTATTAAAATAAACATAAGAGAAAATGGCAAATCATAATTCATAAAATAAGCCACTCTGTGAAGCATAAGTATTAAAGAGTGAAAAATTATGTCTGCTTACCATGGAAAGGAAATGGACATTCTCTAAGAAGGTGCTTTGTATGTCTGAGACATCATAAGCATTATACTTACACTCTGTTCTCTGGTGGGTGCCTGTGGTTAGCAATCATTTTTTATCAAACAGCAGGGTATACAGTCACACAGACCCATATAAATGATCAGAATGCAAGTTAGACCTCCCAATGGGTAAACTTAATTTATGTTTTGGAGTCATTTTGAAATATTCTGTTTTGTTTTCCATTGCATGCATGTATTTTCTTCTGTTAACTCTGTCATTCTTCACTTAACGCACTTCTTCAGAGCTGCAGGATTAGGCTACCAACTTTACATCAGATTAAAAAGATGTAATGAGGATAAATGATTTACAGAAGGAAAAATAGCATTGCCCACGTTTTTCTGGATGTTCTGTGCCTCTAAATGAAAATAGAAATAAACACAGAAGCACACAAGATGAAAAGCTGAAATGGATTACCCTTTTATGAGGCACAGCTCCAAATCTTTGTATAAAAATTCTAAGGGCAATTTTTATAGCTGCAAATGTGGAAACTGCCTTAGATAAAATGTCATCAAGTGGCTCTGTGTGTGTTGACAGGATTTTCATAATGAACAGGTTGCAGTTTGTTTGGTGTATATATCACACATCTGGCTGGAAGTTACTAATTTACATTGTCTTAACAAATTAAATAGATGACTATTGATTCTCTATGGTAGCAGTGAACTACCACATACATTTGTTTTCAGGGCTAGTTTTCTATGAAGCCTGAAAATGATAAGTGAATTCTTTCCAACTACACTACCTCAAACAATGTACTTAAAGAACCACAAGTCCCCCCACCCCAAATAATTTGACAGGCCAGATGTTTTCCAAATTTAGACATTTAATAGCATACATTTTGAAGAGATTTTCATGTCATGAAAGTAGAGAGAATTTTAAATAAGCATTTGTCAAATGAAGGTGTGACATTTTGGTGGAAGCCACATTTGTAAGAAGTTCATTTTTGTTATTCCTGATGGTAAATTTATTATTATTATTTTTTATTGTTGACAGTATTACAGATGTCCTGCTTTTCTCTGCTTTACCCCTCCACACAGCCCCTGCCCTACCTGGCCTTCACCACATTGTTGTCTGTGTCCATAGGCTAGGCATATATACATTAACATATGCCCAGAAAAATTAGTCATCATTATCTAACAAAATGAATACTGAATAGAAATATGTAGTATCCTCATTATAATCAGCAGCTACAGCCGCGAATATAGGAATTTTAGGGGTAGGTGGTGTATGTATGCCCTGATGTTTTACTGGCTTTTGCATGACCACCGTACAGAATCTTGGTATTCTGAAATTCTGGAGAAGAGAGTGACAGAACACTATAATTACATTTTAAAAATTCTCTTAATTTTTGTCTGGGTCCATGAGTTTCCCTGAGGCTTCTATAGCCCTTCATTAAAACTTAATCCCCCACCCCCACCAAACCAACTACCACCCTAAACCTATTAAAAACCCCAAACCAAAAGCTGTCCAGTTCATGATTTTCTATAAGACAAACATACCCTGTTTTATGTGCCATGTTAAAAAGAAATCTCTCTTACAAATTGTAGTGCTTACAGGCTTTAAAATAAGTGTTAAGTATGATAGGCCCTGCTGCCTAAATATTTTCTAGAAGAGTATCTAGTAACAGTGAATGTTGGGGAAAGTCCAGAAAAGTATAGAGAAGAAGCATACTGTGTATTTTCTTGAATTCATATTTCCTTGAGTTTATTTAATTAGTAGTATTAATTATTAGTAGCCAGTTTGGATAGAAAATATTAGTACTTAGTGTGAAGAAAATTGAAAATGTAGATCATCCAATAAACTACAAAAAGGAATTTCTAGAAAAATGAAAAGCCTTGATTCTCTTTGTGTTCTTAAACTTTATATTTTAAAAATAAAACTTTAAAAAATCTACTTTTACGGATATACCACTAAGGTGTAAAAACCCTATTTTAAAATATTTTAAAACAAATTTTTCAAACATACAAAAAGTTGAAAGAATACTATAATAAGTACATACATTAAACTAGATTTGCTTTATATATGTTTCTACTTTTTTTTCTTTAATCCTCACCTGAGGACATTTTTCCACCTTTTGTTCAGATAGAGTGGGAGGGAGTGAGAGAAAGAGAGAGTGGAAGAGAGAAAGAAACATCAATGTGAGAGAGACACACTGAGTGGCCGCCACCCGCATGACACAATCAGGGCTGGGGACAAACTGCAACGGAGGTTAATGCCCTTAGCAGGAGCTGAACCCAGGTCTCTCTGGACCACAGGCTGATGCTCTAACTGCTGAGCCAAACCGGCCAGGGCTATTTATCTACTTATATGTGTCTATTTGTATTTGCATTTTTTTCCTCCATAGAATCATTCCAAAGTAAGCTATTCTTAAATAATATTCTCCCACACAGTCCCTGTACCATTTATGAGGGCCCATTTAAAATGTTCAAAATTACTGTGTAGAAGGTTGAGAGCTAGTTTATTGATGTCATTAAAAATAATCTGCCACTGAAATTCATCAAGTACTCACTGATGTATGACCTCAGTTGGGCTGATTGATAGACAGTCTTTTGCAAGGGGTCTTTTCTAGTGATAGAATATGCTAAATGTCAGTGTTTTTTAAACCAGACTCCTAATGAGAATTGTAAACTAATATAATTTTGATATTTTGCCGCAAAAGTAAAAGAGAGAAGATTTCAAGAGTGATTTGGTAATTTTGGAATCAGATTTAATATCTTCGACCATTTTTTGGTTGGTAAAGACTTCTCTGCTTGTTTATTTTTTCAGTTTAGAATGGAAAACAGCTATAGTGAAGAAAAATCTCACATACTGATTTAGAGTGATTCACTGATCACAGAGAAGGAAGTAATTTTCTGTGTTAAAATTTATATTTTAGTGTTACAAAGAGCAGAATAGAGACAATTTACATTAGTGGTCTATGTAATATTTTCTATCTACTAAATGACCCTTTTGAATTTCAAAAGTTAGGGCAAATGTTAAAGGAGACATATTTTCTTCATATAAAAGGAAAAAAACAAAACAAAACAAAAAAACAGCCCAGCCTGTGTGGCTCAGTGGATTGAGCCTTGTCCCATGGACTAAGAGGCCCTGGTTGGATTCCTGGTCAGAGTATATGTCCTGGTTGCAGGCTCAATCCCCAGTAGGGGGCGTGCGGGAGGCAGCAGATTGATGTTTCACTCTCACATCAATGTTTCTATCTCTTCCTTCCTTTCTCTCTAAAAAAAATCAATAAAAATATATTTTAAAAAACTGTTAAAAAAGAAAAAACAAAACAAAGGTCTCTACATTGTAATTATTTCAGGTCCCATAATTTTTGTTCTTCTTTGCACAAAACCATTGGAGTTTTCCCAATTGAAAGGATTTAAGTATTAATATATTCTGTGAATATAAAACCTTACATATCCTCATCATGATGCAGGAAACATTAAAATATGCTCATATTAGTTTGCTCTTTCAAGTATAAT